AGGAGAGGAAAGGGATTGATGGTGTGTATAAGATGTGTTGGCACAATGTGCTGTCAGATTTCACTGAAAGCAGGAATTTGGTAGGACATCAGTGATAACAGAACAGAGCTACGTGCTGGTTTTGCAGATCATTTCAAACCCAGGCTGATTGACCTCATCACTTTTGTGTATTCTGTATTTTTTGACTGTTTGTGATTGTGTTTTAGAGGGCTTCAAGTTATTATTCATATTCCCATGTGCATGTGTGGGGAACTGCACAGAACCATAGAGAACTTAAAGGAACAAAATAAAAAGACACCAAAAATCTGTTCCTTTAGCAAACACCTGTCTGCTGAAACAATGTCACAATGTCAGTAACACGCAGCTGGCAAGTCAGTGTTTAAATTTGTGGCTTTTCAGGATTAGGAGGCAGTTTATTGAGGATACCAGCTCCAGATATCAGCAGTGGATGTGTTTTACATCCTGGATAAACAAGTGGTGAATGTCCATGTTGGCCTAGGAATTTTTACTTTCCATACAACATGTAGAAAAGTTTCAGTATCTAATGCTTAGGAGGCATGACACACCAGATTTCCTGGGCATGGTAATTTTAAATGTTTAAAGCCCATTTTGGTTTTTTCCCCATTTTTTTACTTTCCTTGGTATTCTGGATCTAGCTTTTTTTTGCTAGTGAAGAGATTAAGTACAGGCAGGACAACATGCTGCAAAATCAGCTCTTTGAGCCTCACCAGAAATGCAGACCTTTAAAATGGGCCAAGCAGATGAACTTGAACTGAGTCTCCAGCACAGAGAATCCCAGACTGGTTTGTGTTGGAAGAAACCTTAAATCTCATCTCCTTCCAACCCCCTGCCGTGGGTAGTGATACCTTCCACTAGAAAATGTAAATCATATTTCCATGTGTAAACACATGTGATAAAACCCAGCTTGAATGAGTTAAAGGTCAGAGATAAGCCTTTGGAAGTGAAGTACAGCATGAAAATTGCCTACTCATGTAGATAATGGTATATTCTTGATCCCACTGAGCTCTTTTGTTTTGGGTTGTTTTCTTCCTGGGATCTCTGCCTGGTGGTGCACACAAGGAATAGTGAATATCTAATGAGCTGCTTTCCTTTTCTTTCCCCTTGCTGTTTTTGCTTTGTGTAACCCTGTGCCTCACTGGACACCATTCAGATCAGGATTTGAGGCTGGAGTTATTATTCTCCCATTTGGCATTTCTGCAGGACTCATCACCACAGTATTTCAGTGCTTCAGATGTTAATTGATTTTCATAACACCCCACTGAGATGGGGAATTATTGTTAACCAGGGAAATGGAGCACAAGGAGATTGAGGTCAGAAGTGCTGCCCAGTTTGAATGCCAGCTTTGAGACACCTGTTATCTGGTTTATTATTTATTCAGTAGTCACATTAAACTCTTGAATTCCTTTAATTGCAACTGCAATTCTGCATCTCTCATCCTGAGTCAGAAGTTGGAATGCAGGCAGAGCATAAGGAAAACTCAGCTTAGCACTTTTGGCATTTTTTTCATTAGGGATGTGCCTGTTTTCATGAACGTAATTTTGGGCAAAAGTGGGGCAAGTATTAAGTCTCAGGAGATTTTTCTTTCTTAATAATTTCTCCTGGCTGATACAATGCTTATTCTTCAGTTCTTGGAACAAAATAAACAAGGCTCTACCTCCAGGAGTCTCTTCTGCTCCCTAATTGTAATTCATCACCAGAGTGGCTCCACTTGTGACAACAAATGAGTAGAGGTTCTTTATGGAGTCTGTGTGAGATGTTCTTAATTAAAAAATTCCTGAAATGAATGCATAAAGATTGCCCTGTATTTCTTTATTATGATTGCTTATGTACTCCTAATTTTCTTTTAACATTTATTCAACATAAACAGTTTTCTGTTCTCTCTGGTTTATTTCTGTGCTGATCTACCTTCTGGCATCAATGGCCCATATCCAGCAGCTTCTTGATAGCTGGAAGTGGCAGGAGTGTCAAGGAGTGAGCATTGCTCCTCTGCAGAAATTCAGCTGTTCCAGAAGAGAGACAACTCGAGGCAGAGCTTGTTCAGTAGCAGGGCAGCTGTCACAGCACTGGCATGTGAAGATAATTCTTTTCCTCAGTAGAATATTTTCTCTGAGTTGACAGGAATTTTAGAAGTAAGATCATTAGAACCCTGAATGCCTTGATAGCCATCTCACCTTGGCTTTTTTTTTTTTCTGATAAACTAATCATGACTTTCTTGAAGAATAAAAGTGGTCTGAAATCCTAAATGGAGGTGTCTGTAAACTCATGTGCTTTGGTGCTTGAGAGCAGTGCTATCTGCAAATTCTGTCTGGAGAAAGATAGAAACATAACTAAAGTATTTTTTATTTATTTTAAGTAGTTCTAAACTATTTTCCCCCTAGACTAATTTCTTCCTTTATGAGTTTATCATATTTCAAAGATAGGTTGTCTTTTGAGGAGGAGTTAATTCTCCAGTCTTTGCATGTAGATCTTATTTTGGCCCATTTAATTATTTTCCTCTAGCTTTTTTAGACACAGCTTTCATTAATAGGGCTGAATTAAGACTGCTTCAGGTTTCTTTTAACTCTGTAAAAGTTCATGTGCTTTTGGGCCTTTACACAAATATTTTTGGCCCTAACTTGGGCATTCTCCTTGTCAAATTCTGTGTGCTCAGTTACACTTTGGCTTCCCCAGTCAAGACAAGAGAAGTACTGAGCAGTCAAGTACAATGTCTCAGCTTGACTGAAAAACCTTGTGTGTGCTGGATGTGGTGATTTTCCTGAAACTTCCCCTGGATCTTTTCAAGTTCATGCTGAAAAATGTCTGTAACAGATTTCTGTAATAGATTCTGTAACTTTGCTGGTAGATCTTAAATGCTGCTTCAGGCACTTTCTCATAATTTAACTGCATGGTCAGATGGATCTGGGAGGCAGACTGGAGTTCTCCAGCCTCTCTGGTATTTGGAAGCCATGTAAATGAAAATAATCATTAAAGAAGTCTGATTAGAGAACTGCTTTTTATAAATTTTTTGTTATTAGTCTGTGTTTGTTTGCTTGTGATTTAGACAGTGTGGTTATTTTTGGTTGCTGATGGCTGCACGGTTCTTAGATGTCCTGAGAAAAATTATGATAACACAGCAAAAGCATAAAAATGTGTTTATTTTCTCCTGTGGTACCAGCTGGCATAATGAAAACATCACCTTTCTTTGTACCCTTTCCTTTCATAGCATATAAAAATGTGCCTGGCATTTTAGAGGGCTGGAACCCCTTTCCTGTGAGGAAAGGATGGATGAGAAAGCCAGGGGAATTCAGCCTGGAGAAGAGAAGGATCCAGGGAAGACTTAGAACTCCTCCCAGTGCCTAAAGGGGCTCCAAAAGAGCTGGAGAGGGACTTTGGAAAAGGGCCTGGAGTGACAGGACACAGGGAATGGCTTCACACTGACAGAGGGCAGGGATGGATGGGATATTGGGGAGGAATTGTTCCCTGTGAGGGTGGGCAGGCCCTGGCACAGGGTGCCCAGAGCAGCTGTGGCTGCCCCTGGATCCCTGGCAGTGCCCAAGGCCAGGTTGGATGGGGCTTGGAGCAGCCTGGGACAGTGGAAGGTGTCCCTGCCCATGGCAGGAGGGTGGAATTGGATGAGCTTTAGGGTCCTTTGCAACCCAAACCATTCTGGGGTTCTGTGACTCCACAAAATACAGATCATGCTGCTTGCTGGTACTAGAGGTTTTAATGTCAAACAAAGGGAAAGCCACAGCTGAGATCACTGAACATGAGAATATTGTAGTTGGATAAATCAATGATAGCCAAGATTCAGAGAAGCCATCAGCTTTAGGGAGCCAGCACAAAGTGATGTTTGAGCTTCTGGCAGCCATTTCTTTAGCTGCCATTGAAGGGAATGGAGAAATGCAGCAGTGGCTGTCATCTCTGGGGTAGGATCATCTCCCCTGGAGTGACTCCTTGGGGTGTTTTGGATCCAAAAGGGACCTGGAGCTGGGAATTGCTGCAGACTTCTGGCTAAGCCTGCCAGGCAGCTGCATTACTGTGTGGCACAGGCTCACTGTGGAGACTTTATGGAATTAAAAAAACACTGAAATTCAGGAGATGACCTGGTTGCTGACTCCAGCAGGTGTAAAGAAGCTATTTTTTATGGAGAATCCTGGTTAACAAGACACAATCTGAGAGCTTAGAAGCTTTTCTGTCACAGAAATACTCTGTTTTCAAGATAAAAGTTATTTGTAAGGGATTTATATTCCAAGTTACAGGAGAAGATTTTGTTGGTTTTTCCTTTAGGATTACAAAGGTAATGGAGAAAAGCACCATTTGATATTTGCCAACCTAAAGGTACAGCACACTGGAACCTGAAGATAATTAACTGTTGTAGTTCCAGCTCTGACATTTTGGTACAACTTCCTCATCCACACAGTGGTGTTCTTTAGGTCTGTCTGCAGTGATTCCCATCCTTTTCTAGGAATCATTTATGAGTTTTTAATTAACACTTTTTATGGTAGATTCATATCTACAGCATTTCAAATTAGTAGCTTTAAGCTTGCAAGACAGCCCAATTTTTTGGTGGTTTTTTGGGTTGTGTTTTTTGGTTTGTTTTTTTTTGGTGTAGTTTTTTTGTGTGTGTGTTTGTTTGTTTGGGGTTTTTTTTTGTTTGTTTGTTTTACTGCAAGAGCAAAACAGTTAGAATGTGATCTGTGGTAAAAACTCACCAGCAATTAAAGAACTGTTAATTTCCTCAGAGTTCTAAAGCTGAACCTTAAGCCTGCAGGACAGAAAATATGCCATGTTGCTCTTGTTCAACTGTCAAGCTATAACTGCATTAGAGACTACAAAGGATTTTCATTTTCTTCTCAAAGCATTTTTGGAGAAGTCAGCAAAGCAGTTATCTAATGTATCCATGTTGAGTACACATTGAATTTTCTATTATGTTACATTTAATTGTACTGTTAATGGGTTCATGTGTCAGGATTTTTCTCTTTTTATTTTTTTTTTAACAGGATTCTGCTCAGGAGAGTGTCATCAAACGAGATATCCATCGTACATATCCAGCACATGATTATTTTAAGGATACAGAGGGAGATGGGCAGGAATCTCTGTACAAAATCTGTAAGGTACAGTCAGTACTCTCAATTTTAAAGCTCCATATTTTGTGTGACTTTCTTTTGCCCTGTTAACCCTGTTCTGGTCCAAGTTGTTAATCAGTAAGATTTTAAAGCTTTGTTTAGATTGCATGTGGAGACTGTGGTGTTTCTGCATTCCCTTTTACATCCTTGCATTTGGTGCTTCCAAAGGTGCTTGAGCCTCCCCCTCCACTTCAGAGGGAGTGGTGTAGGAGCTCCTCTTTTCCTCTGAGGTGGAGAGATTTGCAGAGGAGGAGAAAAAACGCTGAGAGCAAGCTCTGCTGTGAGGTTAAACCAGAATGTCTGCAGATAATTACCTGGAGAACAAGCTTTTGGCCATTCCACAAGCCGTGTGTGAGCAGAGCTTTTCACTCACAGCTGCCAGATCACCTCCAATGAAAAACACTCTTTAATTTTTCCAATTTGCACATGGGAAAGTTGAGGGACAAAATCAATAGATTTGTCCATCTTGTACAGACATATTTCTTTTTGTTTGAGAGAGATCCAGAAGGTAAAATACTGCAGCCAAGCAGGGACTATTCTGCCTGGCAGTTGTAGATGTTGCTGTGGTTTTGGCAGTCAGTTTTTGTTTCACTTTGTTTTTTTCTAAAATTCATGAAATTCATGTAGAATATTCTGTAGAATATTATATAATGTAGAATTCATTCTGTTCATATAGAATGAATGATTGCCTTAGGCAGAGCCATTTCCCTTTCCCTTCCTCTTCCTTGTTGCTGTTTCCACCTCCTGCTGATTACTAGAAATGATGGAGTTGTCAAGCACAAAAAAAGTGGGGTATAGTGACAAGTGGGGTATAGTGACAAGCCTTTGGGGTATAATGACACATTTTCCTGTTCCCCGGATAAATTCTCTGGTGATACAAAGATACAAACTCCTATTCAAATAAGAATTTGGATGAATATTAAATATAGCTGCTTAGCTACTGGGATTCAGTATTGTGAGCAATTCACAGTTTAAAAGAAATACAAAATTAGGGAATAAAGAGAACTTTCAGACAATGGTAGTGATTTCTTCCTAATCTTGGAGGGCTCTAGAGGGCTACAGGAAACAATTCCTTTGCCAATCTATGAAAAGAATAACAATGCAGGTAATTGTGGGCTTGTCACTTTGATACCAGCTAAGTGAACAATGATGGAATAATTCCATTTTTCAAGAATTAAATGTGAGAAGTATGTTATAATGAAGGCCTGGGAGTTTACTGAAAATAGGTGATGACAAGCTAACACAAAAAGCCAGAAGTACAGGCTCCATTGGTGAAGGTTTTGACTGGAATTCTGTAGCTCCTGTAGCCTGCCAAGCTCAGAATGTATAAATGCTGGACAAGTTAGAGCATGAACAAGATACACATTATGGAGTTAAAGACTGGCCAGCAGGTTCCTAAACAAGCACTGAATAAGTGGATTTCAGTCAAAGCATTAGGAATATCCCTTCTTGATTCCATGTACTCTGGTGAGTCACCTGGAAGAAATCAGAAAGTCCTTTCTCATGAAGGTATCTTGGTGACACAGAGAAAAGGGGATGGTAAATAATGAAGTGTAAAGGATGTGGAGATGGATGAACCCCCTGTAGGATCAGTTTGACTTGAGGAACTCAGTGTTTTGCAGCTGCTGCAGCTGCCTTTACTGACAATGTCCAGAATTAAAGGCATCTATTCTACATTGGAAAGAATCTGTCAAGTTCTGTGATGTGAAAGAATTTGGGAACATTCTTTGAAAAGAAAAATTCTTTTTCATTAAGGTATCTCAGTCTATTTTGTCTAATAAAGTACAAATAAAGGAGTGAATCTGTCAGAACTGGAAGCAACTGAGAGGAATTATCTGCCCAGCAGGCAGCTTCAGAGGGGCACAGACCTTCCTGGGTTGTTTCCTTTCTGTGGAAATGTGAATAATTCTGCATGTTTGCTAAATCTGGGGGCTTTCCTTGCTCTGAAGGCCTCTCCTGCTCCTGCAGAGAAAGTGGCTGTGGCTGTTATTGCATCAAGGTGCCCCCAGCCTCAGGAGTAATGTGCTTTGACTCCATGATTCAGAAGGCTGAACAATTGCTTTATTAAAACTATACTGCATTACATTAATACTATATTATAACTATATTAAAGAGATATTATACTATACAAAAGATGCTAAAGAAAAAGTATGACTGACTGAGACAGTGAGGACACAGCTTTGACCCAATTGGCCAAGGAAACAAAACAATCCTCAGCAGGATCCAATTGACAAATCACTTTGGGTAAACAATCTCCATAACACATCCCACATGTGCCAAACAACAGGAGCAGTGAATAAAGATAAGAATTGTTTTCTCTTCTTCTCTCTGAGCTTCTCCAGGAAAAATCCTAGGAGAGAGAATTCTCTCAGTTCAGAGAATGTGAATGTTAGTTAGTTCTCTTTTCTTGAAGGATCTCGAAACTCAGAAGTGCTGTATCCTTGACAAAGAGAAAGTCATGCAAAAACCCCAGGAGGCCTGTGTGGATGAGCAAGGTGCTCCTGGACAAACTCAAAGACAAAAGGAAGCCTACAGAGGGTGCAAACAAGGGCACCTAGTCTGGTAGGAATACAGAGAAATTGTCCAAGCAGACAGGGATCAGGTTTAGGAAACTAAAGCCGTGATAGAATTAAATCTGGCCATGGATGGGAACGGTGACAAGAAAATATTCCATGGGTACATCTGTGATAAAATTAAGATTAGAGACAGTGTGGGAGAAAATGTTCCTTCCAGTCCAGAAGGAAAGGGCAAACCTTCTCAACTTGGGACATGGACAAGGCTGAGGTACTCAATGACTTTTTTGCCTCTGTTTTCCCTGGCAAGTGCTCCAACATCACTGCTGAGGCCACAGAGGGCAAAGGCAAGGACAGAGAGAATGAGAAACTGCCCAGTGCAGGAGAAGATCAGGTTTGAGATGATGCAAGGAGCCTGAAAGACCACAGAACCTGATGGGATGCATCTGTGGCTCTGAGAGAACTGGCAGATGAAGTTGCTAAGCCACTGTCCATCATATTTAGTTATGGATGTCCTGTGAAGTTCCCACTGAATGAAAATGGGGAAACTCCCGTTTTTAAAAAGGCAAGAAGAGAAGGATCCAGAAGAGGCCTTAGAACCCCTTCCACTGCCTAAAGGGGTTCCAAAAGAGCTGAAGAGGAGCTTTGGAAAAGGACCTGAAGTAACAGGACAAGGGGGCTAATGGCTTCCCACTGCCAGAGGGCAGGGATAGATGGGATATTGGGAATAAATTCTTTTCCTGGCAGAGGTTGCCCAGAGGAGCTGTGGCTGCCCCATCCTTGCAGCTCTGGAAGTGTCCAAGGCCAGGCTGGCAGGGCTTGGAGCAAGCTGGGCTAGTGGAAGGTGTCCTTGCCCATGGCAGAGGGTGGAATTGGATGAGCTTTAGGGTTCTTTCCAACCCAAACCATTCTGGGGTTCTGTGATCTTTGATCAGAGACCTCTCTGTGTGTTCATCATGTTGAGGGCTGCTCTTCTTGTGAAGCATTTTGTTTGTACCTGGAGCTTAATGACCTCTGTCACCCAGCCACTTGTTCTTGATAGAACATGTTCTGCATACTTTGCAGTCACTAATTCCCTGCTCCAAACAGCTTTGTCTCATCAGCAGCCTTTGTGCTATTTTTATGTGGTTTTATTTTTACTGTTTTTATGTGTTTTTATTTTTACTGTGCTATTTTTATGTGTTCTTTAAGGTTTGTGAATATTTGCAGACATCTTTCTGCAGGGTTCTGTGAGTGACCTCACCTTCACTCTCTGGGTTAGAACTGACTTCATTCCTACCTTTGGCTTTCTCTCCTTTAATCAACTATTTGAGGGAGTAAGGGGATGTTCTATAGCAGCTCAGTTCCCTGAAAAGCCTTTGGGTAGGGCTTGGTGAAGGATTTATAAAAATCCTGGTGATCTTAGTGACTCCCTCATTCTTTCATGTGCTCGTTGGTTAAAAGAAGGGTTTGGGAAGCATTGCTCTCTGGTAGAACAGCCACATCCAGTCTTCAACATGGCATTATTCATAGATTTACTGATTACATTGAAGGTTTTATACCTGCTTGTGCCAGTATTGAGATCAGGCACAACTGCTGGAGAGATTTCCAGGCAGAGTTTTCCAGCATTTCCACTTCTCCTTCATCCTCTCATAGTTTTCTTAAATGACTGGCTGTGACAGATGTCTGTTTGGGTCTGACTGAACCCTGAATTTATGAGTAATAAACTGTTTTCTCCAGTATGTGGGTTTTCAAGAAATACTGTTAAGCCTAATTAATTTGCTTATAAAATTTTCATTCCATTGGGAATAAAAAGTAATAATCTGTGTTGGAAGTAATAATGTGGCAGCTTTGTATTGCTAGAATAACTTTTACCAGAGATGCTGAGTACTTATCCCTTTATTCTAATGTGAAAGCAAGAAGTTTGAAGAATGGGATTTTTGAATATGGCTGGGAAGGGTCTGTCCTCAAGTGAGAGGGCAGAAAGCTGAAGAGAATTTTCTTCATTCTCCACTGAAATGAGAGATGATCTGAGCTGTCAGATAAAAAGGAAAATCATTAAAAGCTCACTGCCTCATTTTAACAGGTCTGCCAGTTTTTGTTCCAACTCTTTATCTCCTCTTCAGAACAGTAGGAAACCAGGAAAGATGGGAACTTTTTCTGTTGCAGAACATTTATGTGACAAAGTACCTAAAAATAAACTTCAGGACTGACAGTGGTGATAAGGAATGAAAAGAGTTTCAGATTCTAAGACTGGAGATTTCACTTGAGGACACCACTTAAGCTGGATTTTCACAGAGCAAATTTTGGGGAATCTTTGGGAAACATGCTGCTTCTTGCCTGTGTTCTGTTTAAATACTCTGCAAATTCTAGCTGTATTTGAAGAGCTCAGCTCAGTGTTACAATGCATAACTGAGTAGTGCTCAGTGCCTGCTTCCAAGCTCTGTCCATGCTCACAGCCTGAGGCTCCAGGGAATCAGAGCACCTGGCAGAATT